GCTTGGTCTGGGCGCCCCCTCCTCTCCCCTGGACCCTCCTCACCTTGCTGATGGCCTTGAGCGCACGGCTGGCGGCCTTGTACCTCTCAGGGTGGCCCTGACTCTTGAGGCAGAGGGTCTGCAGAGAGGACACCACACGTGAGGCGCCGAGGACCCTTTTGCCCTCCAGGCTCAGGGGCCTGCGCGGGCAGGGGCGCCTCCACTAACGTCACACCAGGCGGGGCCGCAGGGAGGTTGAGGGCCAGTGTCCAGAGGGCTCCTGCCAGGCCGCCCTGGGGTGCACGGCCCCCAAATGGCTCTGCTGGGTCAGGCTGGTTCGTGGGACCTGGAGAGAGCACGCTCCTGGGACCCCAGCCCTTCCAGTCCTTGGCTGTCTTGGACTGGTCTGGGAGGTGCCCGTGGCCTCTCTTTCTACGCTTCCCAGAGGGACCTGGGAGGTCTGATGTCCCGTCTGCTTGGAAAGATGGCACTCTAAGCGGGAGCCACACGCTGCCTCTGTGTGCTGTGTGCATGGCTGCACGTGTACGAGTATGTGCACGCAGATACACCTGCCTGCATGTGTGCGAGCGTGCACACACGCGTGTGCCTACATGTATACAAGCGTGAGCACGTGTGCACCTGCGTGTGTGAGCGTGTGGACACGTGTGCACCTGCATGTGTGCGAATATGTGCACACATGTACACCTGCCTGCATGCGTATGTGTGCACACATGTGCGCCTACATGTGTGTGAGGGTGTGCACATGTGTGTGCCTGCATGTCGAGCGTGAACACACGTGTGCAAGTGTGAGCACACGTGTGCGCCTACATGTGTGCGAGCCTGAGCAATGCGTCTGCCTGCATGTGTGCTAGCCTGAGCACACGTGTGTGCCTACATGTATACGAGTGTGAGCACACGTGTGCCTGCATGTGTGCGAGTGTGTGCACACATGTGCGCCTGCATGTCTTCAAGTGTGAGCACACATGTGCACCTGCCTGCATGCATGAGTGTGCACACATGTGTGCCTGCATGTGTGTGAGCATGTGCACACGTGTGTGCCTGCATGTTGAGTGTGAACACACGTGTGCAAGTGTGAGCACACGTGTGCGCCTACATGTATACGAGTGTGAGCACACGTGTGCGCCTGAATGTCTTCGAGCGTGAACACACGTGTGCACCTGCGTGTGTGTGAGCGTGTGGACACGTGCACACGCATCGGCTTGCATGTGTGCGAGCCTGAGCACAGGTGTGTGCCTACATGTGTACAAGCATGTGCACACGTGCACCTGCACGTATGCCTCTTGCCCCCACCTGCCCTGCAGCACTGAGCAGGCATCTCCGAGGCATGAGCCACTCCAGTGAGCTGTTCAGAGCTCCACGCACGGAAGGGAAGGTGATGGGCACCCGGGCTGCCCTGGGGGCCCACAGCCGGGACAAACTGGCTGAGGATCCTGGAAAGGAGGCAGCGGCCTAGGACCCACCCTCGGCAGAGGCCCGGGCAACCCTGGTTCTCACTCATCCACCTGAAGGAACCTCGTGAACCTTCTAGTACGGGGACGAACACCTGTGGAGTGCTGGCGCCGCTCCTGGCACAGAGCCTGGGGGGAGGGCAGGGTGGGGGGAGGCTATCAAATGTCAAAGCCGTCTTACAACTGAGTGACGAGGTGGGGGAGGGGGCGTGCCGTGCTCCACTCCATGGGAGGGGGGACCCGGGCAGCTCCGTCCCGGCGTCTGGCCGACCTCCCTCCCCGGGCGGGGTCCGCGCTGTGTACTCACGTCCGTCAGGAGGGGCAGCCGGGTCACCCTCTGCATGGGGAGGATGAGGAAGGAGATCATGGGGAGACCCCCGCACGCGGGACGCTTCTCGATCTCCCTCAGGGCCTCGTGGAAGGCGGCGTTGCTGCTCCTGCGACAGAGAACGGGGCTTCCGAAGTCAGGGCGGCGGGAGGGGAGGGGGAGCCTGCAGGAATGCGCCCCGAGACCGAGGCCCCCCGAGACCGAGGCCCCGCTCACATCAGCCTCTGCAGGGCGCGCTGCTGGTAGACCTCGTTGGAGCAGTAGGCGACGTAGGGGTGGAAATGCTGCTCCGCATGTTCCTCCAGGATGTCGCTGATGTCCTCCACGCACACCTGCGCCTTGTGCCGCTGCTCTAGGGCCT